TATGATTTGGGCTTTCGGCAGAGCTCTCATTATATTCCCACGCCCCTTGTTTCACAAACTATGTTGAGCGATGTGGTAGGATTCTAGTTCCTTCAGAATTGCAACTGGAGAAGTCAGAACTAAGAAGCAAAGCCTAACTCCTGTCTCCTTCAAACTTGGCCATGGCTTTTGTACCTCAAACTGAAAATGTTCGTCTTCTAAAATAGATTTGTGGGATTGACCGCCTTAAGGTGTGTGTTTATTATATACTTCATCCTTTTAGTCGTAGGATCCAATCGATACTGTTCGCTCTTGTTATAGAGCATTACATTGCCGAAGATCGACTGCAGCAGTTGAGGTTCATGGGTATAAAGCTGCTGTTAGTTTTGTTCGCTCTTGTTATAGAGCATTTATGTTGCCGAAGATCGACTGCAGCAGTTGAGCTCATGGGTATACAGCTGCTGTTAGTTGTGGCTATCTTTTGCCTAGTGACCAGTTATTCGTTGGGGAAGCGTACAAATTACAAGCCATTGGGTCGGTTCCTTTCTCATGGGACAAACAACAGCTTCAAACCTCGTGTCTAATTTGGAGTCTCGACAGTGGTTTCCTCCTCGTAAGGATTTGAAGGTTGCGATTAAGACGAGAGTGACAGGAACGGAGTAAACTAAGATGGGTCAATCGCCATGCTTCTAGGAACATGACTCCAGGTGGAGAAATGCACTGGGGTTTTCATGGCCTTGATCGTGCATAAAGGTTGTTATTATTGAACATCAAGAGCTTCATAGATCGATCATTCGTATCAGACAAGCATGATTCTTATCTGTGTCTTATCTATTGCAAAACTGTTACAATGAAATGTCAAAGTTTGCAGTCTTTCTGAATCCTTAAATCCACCAATGTTATCAATTGCTTATGGTAGAAGCAAATAGTCTTCTGTTTCTCTCTGTCGTCGAAGTACCTGAAGTAGAAATGAATCAAAAGCAGCAGCAGCAGCAGCAGTTATTTGATTGTTGTGGGGAGCCCATTTTCGAGCCATGATATATAGCCACCGGCAACATCGATTACACGAGTAAACCCCTACAGAAACAAAACCACAAATCATTTTTCAGAGCTTCCAAATTGATCTAGCCTTTTTGTACACTATCAGCTAGCAAAGTCCAAACTGAAATCAGCAGCAGCCATGAGTGCACGTTTTCTGACCGTCTGGGTCATTAAACTAATTTCGGTTATTATTATTGTTGTTTATTTGGATATTCTTTTGGTTATTTTGTGTTATTATTATTTCTTGTTAAGGAAGTAATCGGTTAAGAGTTGGTTTAGGATTGGGTTTCCTTGTTTGAGAGGGAGTAGGGGTGTTCAAATGGTTGTCATGGTTATAACTAAACCAAATAAGGCTAAATTCCATTAACCATGGAATACAATATCATAACCAAACCGTCCAAACTAATACAACAACCAAATTAACCAAACTAAAGTTTAATCGGTTTGTTTAATTGGTTAACCAGATTAACCAATATAAAATCACATTATCATTGACGATGAAAATTTTCCGGTTAATGCAACAATTCGCAATTTATATAATGAATAAAACATAACAATCAACACGTAGTTATAGTTGACCCTTAACAAAAATACATGCAACTAAGACAATTATCTTACGATTAGTATAGAAGTATTCACCTAACAAAAATTTATGACAATGGTATGGGTTAATGAATTGTTGTGTTTGTGTAAATTGACTTAGACTCTTAGCAATTATCATAGGCTGGAAATGACCTTCCTTCCAAGTTTTCATCCATCATAATGTATGAAATTTATCTAAATTAGGCATCCATATGTTGTGATCTACACTTTACATATACAAATATACACTATATGAGCAATATTGAGCTTTATATTTTATGAGTCTAAAAGGGATGAACGTTAACTCTTGAATGGTTATGCAAAGTATTAAGTATGTGTATATAATATATGTTAGATATATGACTAATTACTTAACTGGTTAATTTGGTTTGACCGGTTAGGAGTGAACTCATGAAAGATCAAACAAACAAACACGAACCACCATTAGAAAGAATAGTGGTGGAACAAAACTGAGACAAATAAAACAAAAAGAAACACAAGATAACTAACACAACTACACACTCAAACGCAAGACTATACTAGTATATCTAACACTTTCATAATGACATAAATTTCCCCATCAATGATGCAAAAGACTTAATAGGGCTAACCTTATATTTAACTCGAGGCCTAACTAGCTAGTATACTACGTATAATCAAGTCAAGTATACCTTGATTAGACAACATAGCATAAGGTTGGCCATCAAAGTTGTATTCCACGGGGCCTCTAGGTGTACTTCTCTTGGCCTCAAGCCACTATCAATTAATTAAAAGCCTAAGAATTCGGTACTGTTCATCACGAAAGTTTCGCTGATTACTTAATGGCTTACTGTTCATTGGGAGATTGTTTTCCTGTAGCCGCTTTTATATTGAGATTTTGTGTTCCCGTATTCTTGGAGGTTGGCTAACCTAACCAATCACCTATTTTGGTTTGTCTTTCTCCTTGCATATAAGTCTTAGATAGATCAGATAATTATTCACTTTTAATCTCATTCTTTCTAATTAGTATGCGACCAACCTTATCATGGGTTGGCCGGGTTAAACATTTGACACTTTACATACTTTCTAGTTTTTACTGTTCAATAAAAAAAATAGATTATTATTTTTTTCACAGGTACTTTCACAATAGGGTTTTTCCCCATATATTCAATTTTATCATAAGTCATTTTTTCTCCTTTTCTGCAATATTATTCATATAATTTTTATTCCCTACAACCACTTCTACGATAAGTCTAAATTACATATGCAAATAATATTAGACCACATATTATGAAATATTTATGTAACAACAGTCAAAAAATGTTACACAAATAAAAAATTTATCAATGTTACTTACTATGACTTGATTATACTATTAGACCGCACATTATGAAAATTTTATTTAATATGTTCTATAACTGTTACATGTATTTTCCTTAATGATTATACTACGTAAAGTTTATGGACAAATACTCATTTATGTAACAATTAAAAAAACTAATATGTAAAGTTTCTACAATAATTAAACACTACGTCAAATTTATGTAGAAATCGTTATTTACAATGTATCACTTAACCAAACAGATGACGTATGTTATTAGTAATGATTAGGACATCACGTGAAACTTGCATATGTATTTTATCTGTATAATTTTGTTGTTTTAAACTAATCATTAATTTCTTACCGCGGCGAAGCGCGGGCCAAAAAACTAGTATAATCAACAAAGTGTATTTATAATGTGAATTAAACTAAACTAACAAAGAAAAGGAACACAACTAAGTATGATGGAGAAAATTAGAGTTTAGAGGTCGGTTGTTGTTTAGGTTTAATCCCTCTGGCAATAGTTTGACATGGGTTGAGTATAATTCAGTGAAGAGTTCCCTAACTTCTAAATTGCAAGGAATCACCTAGACTAGTAATTATGTCAATAACATGCACTTGATCACACTTCTAGATGGCTAGGTTGGCTCAATGCTCATGTAATCAACTAGCTACCTAGAGAATTAGGGTTAGAATCCTTAAACACATGCAAATGAAGCTACAACCCAATGGACATGCAATTATAACTTCACTCTATTGATGGGTTTTCTAGATCTTGACCTAATTAATTAGATGGTCCATCTCTTAGGTCAAAGAAACCTAAATTCCAAAAACTCAACACAAGCGCAAGGAAATATCGATAAGCCATTAATAGGTATAGGAAATAGATTCACAATCATGCTTACATACAAAACCATAACCATAGAGAAACTAAAAGGTAGAATTCATCTTCATAAACAACTAGACAAGCTATAGCATAGAGAGAGTGTGTACAAACCCATAGCTAGATTCATCTTCTCCCCTTTGATTTGAACACTTTATTTGAATCTTGATTAGGGGCTGCATTGGTGAAGAAACCTCCAAAAATACTCTAAACTCGTCGCTCTCAAGCTACATCTTCACATACTCTGTTTTTCTCTCTCTATGTGCCTCTTATCCAAAAACTGCTCCTTATACTTATAAGGTCATTCATATATCAATTTTTCTAACCTCAAGTTCACGCTTGTGAACTTTGCCTTCAGCCAATGAACTTTTACAATTCTGATGCAGGTCATGGTCGGAGTCAAGTCTTGACCTGTTCCTTGGCCATGTTAACGGATTGAATCTCAACTTCAGGACAGTGAATTATATGTCGCGATCGTGATTTTCCAACAATGATTCTGCCCACGAGACCCTTTGCTTCTCATTCTCGATTTTGTTTGAGTTTACACCCGAAGATAAAGGTTCACGATTGTGAGCTGTTAGGTCGTAATGTCGATAATGGCTTTGACCGGATCGTTGCCTTATCTAAATTAAGTCTTCTTTTTTACCTTGCAAACGACCTCTGAGTGGCGTTAAACTTGGCACAAATCTTTCCTAGCATGCTAGGAGCCAAATTTGGAAAATATAATACAACCTATCATAGAACAAGATGAGAATGAGCAAGTTACGAGCAAAATGGCCAAAGACCGTTAAGAATAATGTTAAGGATTAAGGATATCAACGTTTAATCATATATAGGAGGAGAATGATGATTTAGAAAGTGGTGAATTAGAAATCAGGACTCACGTCATATTAAACATTACGAGCTTTGTAGCAAACTGCTAAAAAATGTTTCAGCCTTTCTGCATTCATATCATCAATCAAAGCTTTATGTTCTTGGTGAAGCAAAGATACAATTTTTTGTGTTAACTTTGTCGTAGGAATCAATTGAATGAGGGAACCGCAACAGCAGCTATCTGGTTGTTGTGGGAAGTCCATCTTTAGAGCCCCGATATATATGCAAAGTTCTCTGCAACATCAATGGCGAGCAGAAGCATAAGTGCAAAACTCAAATCATTTTCTAGCCTTCAAAATTGAGAGGGAGTCAGTCAAAACTCAAAGTACTGATTTCCATTACTTACTTAATGAAGCAAGTGATTCTTCCTTCAATACAAAATGGACCAATATTATTAACTTTAAGCCCAATTGAAAAATCATTAAACTGAAATTGGTGAGGTGCGCCAGGCCCGTGCAATAGTGCAACGCATGGGCGACACTTGAGAAGCCCCTGAAGCAAGCTCCAGTGATGGGCCTCTCCCCCTAAAAAAATTAATTTAATATCGTGTGGGCCATTGACCCACGTATCAGATATTAAACTGATAAGAACAGATACTACACTTGATCTTAGCCAAAAGGCCGAGAAAGGTATGAATTGGGCTTGCAGCAGAGCCCGCTTTTTATTCTCACGCTCCCTGATTCACATGTTATGTTAAGCGATGTGGTAGGATAGGATCTACCTCCTTCAGAATAGTAAGTGGAGGAGAAGTAAGAAGCAAAAGCCTAACTCTCATAATTGGCCATGGCTTTTGCACCTCAAACTGAAAATGGGTCCTCTTCTCGAATTGATCTTCGGGATTGATCGCATTAAGGTGTGTCTTTATATACTTCATCACTTAGTCATAGGATCTACTTGATATTTTCTGCTCTTGTTATAGAGCATTATAATGCCGAAGATCGACTGCAGTAGTTGAGTTCATGGGTATGTAGCTGCTGTTAATTGTGGCTGTCTTTTGCCTATTGACCAATTATTCATTGGAAAGCTTACAATTATAAGCCATTGAGTCGGTTGCTTCTCATGGGATCTCGACAGTGGTTTCATCCTCGTAAGGATTTGAAGATGGGTCAATTGGTCATCGCCATGGTTCTGGGAATCACTCCAGATGGAGAAATGCACTGGGGTTTTATTTCACGGCCTTAATCATGGATAAAGGTTGTTATTATTCAACAGTAAGAGCTTCATAGATCGATCATTCGTATCAGACAATCATGATTCCATCTGTGTCTAATCTAATGCAAAACTGTTACGACAAAGTTGCAACGTGATTCCATCTGAGTCTTATCTATTGCAAAACTGTTACAATGAAATGTCAAAGTTGCAGTCTTTCTGAATCCTTAAATCCACCAATGTTATCAATTGCTTATGGTAGAAGCAAATAGTCTTCTGTTTCTCTCTGTCGTCGAAGTACCTGAAGTAGAAATGAATCAAAAGCAGCAGCAGCAGCAGCAGCAGTTATTTGATTGTTGTGGGGAGCCCATTTTCGAGCCATGATATATAGCCACCAGCAACATCGATTACACGAGTAAACCCCTACGGAAGCAAAACCACAAATCATTTTTCAGAGCTTCCAAATTGATCTAGCCGGCTTTTTGTACACTATCAGCTAGCAAAGTCCAAACTGAATGAGAGCACTTACAGCAGATTGCATATCAGCAGCAGCCATTAGTGACCTCCTTCCACTCTGGCATCCCTGTGGATCAACAACAAACAACAACTGTTGCCTCAACCCTCAATTAACTAGGAAACAGGAAAAAGCCAAGAGCCGATCTGTATCACACAGAACCTACAATAACAATTCCATCTTCCTTCTCGAATTTCGACCATACTTCGTCCAAGAACTTGGGATTCTTGCTCATCTCTGGAAAGATGATGAAGCAAAAAGTGTCAAATAAGCGATTTATTCATACTCTTAAAGCTTCATATACAGGGATTTGGGCAGGGTACCTGCTCCTTTCCTGAGGAGGTAAGGAATGTTCACAGCTCCAGTGGGATGCCCTGCATCGAATTCCTCGCTTGTTCTACACAAAACAAACATTCCCACATCCCATTAGCTATTAAGCAGAAGGCTTTCTCGTATCGTCATAAAATTCATCAGTTCATTCTTATAACTTGTTCCATTACTAGCATTCATTTACCTGACATCCAAATACATGTGGCCAGCTCCGAGGAGCTCGTAGGCCGTCCGAACGGCCACCGATCTCAGCGGTGGCCGTTGCTGCGGCTGAGATTGTGCTTTAGCGGTTGTTCTGACATGCATTGGGGGGAAAATTAATCAATCAAATTGTCTGGGCAATCGAAAAAAAAAAACTAGTAGAAACTAGAAAGGAGGGGAACGTTACGCACCCATAGTAGCTGAGTGGCGGCAAGACATGACGAAAAGCCTTTTGGATTGACGGTGGAAGACGTCGTCCTTTGGAGGCGGTGATCTGAAGCCGCGGAAGGAGAGAAGGAGCAAATGCCGCCGCCGCCGCCGCCATGGCAGATTTGAGAGGTCAATTTGTGGGGGTCAAGTTTGGTTTCTATGTCGGTTTTGGGACTTTGAACTTGATTCGATGCGGTCGAAGTAATGAGAGAGAGGGAACGACTAGATGAGTTTTCTCGTTTGGTCCTTTTCTTTTTGGACTCAATGGGCCATACCTCCAATGTGGAAGATTGGGCTATCGCGCTATCGCTCAGACTTATGGGCCTGTTAACTCTTTTTCTAGCTTTTTTTTAATTATATTTTGGGTTTACAATTGATATACTCTGAATTGTGAATTGATAAATTAAGCCAACAAATATTTACCATTCTCCACATACAGAAAATAATGCGAGATACTGAGTTCATAGTGAATAATCATGTGCTAAATGAACAGTTATGTGTAATCAAGGAGTTGTTAAAATGGTTTGACTAAGGTGGGAAGTGTTATTTGCACGACTAGCGTCCCATTTTTCAGAAGTGTCCTTGCTCACTCAATTTATATGTGGATTATCAGTTGGGTACTTTGTATATACAAGGTACAATGATATTTATCATTTTTCAAATTCTAGATAGATTTTATATTTAATTTAGAGAGTTTGCATTGTATACATTTATAAGGGAAAACGACTAAAACGAACTATTCATATGTGGTGTGTAAATTGAGTTCAATTCGAAAGTGATAAGATGTGTTACCCAAATTGATGACAATTCATGTGTAATTACAGGAAAGGGATAAGAGCATTATAACAAATTAATTTTTTTTTTTTGTAAATGGATGAGTATTTACGCTCAACAACGGTTTCTTGTTATTTTGTCAAATCTCCATCTTGTAAATAACATAAGCCAACCATACTAATCAATTTAAAACCTTAAATTCATTGGTAAACTTGTCTCATATAACTATTCCATCAAAAAAGGAAACATCAGTCTATAACATAAGCCATCTCTTGTCTTCAGTGCCCAACATCCATTTTTCTATTTCTCCATTCGCCAAAATTGGTGAAGACTACAGTCTTACTATGACCGTCTGTTAAAACGAGCAAGTATATAAAAAATTTGTTCTACACAACTCATTTTATTAATGGATTGGCCGTTTTCCTCACTGGGATATAAAAAAGGTGCACAGAGATTTATTTTCTTACGATGTTTAGATAAGTTTGATAATTGCTTAGTAAATGCTACAATTTCTGCATTTGGAAATCGGTTGGCAGACAAATTTTATTTTTTATGATTGAAACAAACTATCAATCTGTAAAGTGTGTAAATACAAGTACAATAGTATATTTGAAGTATGACTCAGTTGCGGGCAGGGGCGGACCCACGGGTGTTTAGGGGTGTCCCCGGACACCCCCTAAATTTTGGGAAAACGATTATCCAACCCCCAGTGGTAATTTACGTATTGACAAAAAAATTATAATTGATAGTCGGGAACACCCCTAAATCTAAAAAAGTGATTATCCTACTCTTATCTTTTAGTTTGAGTATTAGAGTATAAGTGAATGTTTGGGTCATTCAAACCTAGGACACTTTTATTTTAATAAACATAATTTCCATTAGGCTACAACTCATATGTTATTCACTTATTCGATTTTAAACACTGTGTAATAGTATAATGCCATTCTCTATCTCTAATTATTTTCAAAATCTAACAATTAAACAAATTTTAAGCTACCCTTAATTTGTATTGATTTATGGTTGCACGACAAGTGTTGAAAGAGTCTTTTCAGCTTTGGATTACATAAAGAACAAGTTTAGAAATCGAATATGTGATCAATTCGTGAATGATTGTCTAATATGATATACAAAGACAATTTTTTTTGAGCAGTGTAGACCCCAAGTGTGTTCTACAATCATTTTTTAATATGAAAACACATCGTGAATTTTTTCAAGTTGTATGACTGTATGAGTAAGGGATTTCTTATTTAAATATTATTTTTTAAAATTATTTTAGAATTATTTATATTTAATTTATTTTTTAAAAGAGGACACCCCTATATAAAATTTCTGGGTCCGCCACTGGTTGCGGGGTAATGAGATGGTTTTCAACGTACTTACTTACTTACTATTCTGCACATTTGAAGAAAAAAAAGAATAAGTATATAACAGAGCAGCCGTTATAAATTAGTTTGACCAGAGTAGGTAGAAAGTTTTGTACGCCCAACATGTGTTTCATTTTCCACATTTGTTCTGCCCAACTCAATCTATAATGATTTGACAGTTTTCCTCTATGAAATGTAAAAGGAACAAAGAGACTTATTTTCTTACGATATTTAGGTACATTTGATAATTGATTCAATTTATTTATGGAATCATAGTTGCCTACTTTGAAGATAAAAAGAAATGTAGCATTTTTCAATATTTTGAGAGATTTTATGTTTAGTTTATAGAGATTGTACTGTATGCATTTGGAAGGGGGAAACGATTGAAACAAATTGTTGATTAGTGGTGTGTAAATCAAGTTCAATCCAAAAAATGACAAGATGCGTTATCCAAATGACTAGTCACTTGTAGTTACAATGATTGGAAAGGGATAAGAAGCATTATAACTCATTACTTTAAAAAAAAAAAAATGTGTAAAAATGAATGCAACGCATCTCAACTGGCTATAACAAATTACCGGTGTCACTTTTTTCATATTTATGCTCATGTTATTTTACCAAATCCTCAACTCGTAAATAAACAAATTAACTCAATTACCAACAATACTAATCAATTTAAAACCTGAAATTCATTGGTAAACTTGGCTCATATAACTATTCCATCCAAAATGGATCATCAGTCTATAACATAATCCATCTGTTGTCTTCAGTACCCAACATCCATTTTCCCATTTCTCCGTTCGCCAAAATTGGTGACGAACCAAAAGTAAAAAAATAAACAACTAAGAAGCTTATAACTTTTAAACATAATATCTGTCTTCAACTTGGAGAGAGCCTTTTCCACTACTCCTCAGCTGCTCCAGCTCCAGCTGCAGCAGCTAGCTTCAGTCTCTTCTTCTCGTTATACTCCTTCAGCTGCCTCTTGTACCTTTCCTTATCCTTCATCCCAATGATCTGATACACCTGCACACACATGTCACACCCAAAAACATCAACAACAAAAAAAAAAAAATTGTAACTCCAGATCAAAACCCATTTCATAATCTTGACACTGATCATTTTCTTTTTTTGACAGTTTTACCGATTTCTCTGCTGCACTGAGATTGGTCCAAGCATGTCCAATCATCTTGGTGAACTCCCGCTCCCTGTTGGGGTGCGTCTTCTTGAGCTGGTAGTGCTGCTCAGCAAAGAAGAAGTTGTAGCCGCTCCTGTTGGCTTTAGGGTAGTCAGGGTCCTCCACCCTTCTGCTGCCCCTTCTTCTCCGGCCGTCGCGCCCTCCATAGTGCCGGGACCTCTTGGGTGTGTAGGGCACTATGGAGGTGTCCTGAGGAGGAGGGGCCTGGACGGGGAGGGGGACCGGAGCGAAAACGGGGGCAGCAGGAGAATGTGGATGGTACAGAACTCCGTTCAGGAGTTCTGAACCGATCTTCATGGAGACTATGTAGCCGGACTCGAATTTGGCCTCGATCGTCCCGGTTGCTGTGAATGTGGATGGATCTGCATATAACCAAACAATGTACAAGAGGGTCAATGGTAAAACTTAAGCAGACATGAAAAAGAAGAGGTTTTAAGAGGTTTTTTCTAGTGGTTGAAGGGTTGTCAAGGATGGCATTGGTGATTTGAGGTTTTGCTATTGTGCTTTTAGATGTTGGGAGTCGTCGGAACCGGAGCTGGCGCCCTGTCGCCGTTGAATGGATGCGGTGACGATTTTATAAACAAAATATCACCGACTCGAACGGCCACAGGGCGTCTACTTCAGTTCCGACGACTTTCCAACCCTATGTGAACGTTCGCACAAAAAAAGTTTGTGAGCACCACAAATGAATTTGGGTTATATGTGTTACCACAAGCACAAAACTAGGTGCTGCCTTATGTTGACCCAAGAGTCACAAATTTTGAGAAGGGAAATCAAAAGTCATGATTACTATGTTTTGGGGAATTTCTCTCCAATATTTCCCAATTTAACTTCACATAAAAAGTAATTCATGATGAGTCATGAAGTACACATGAAACAACACTTTAGAAAGAGACAAAAGGAAAATTTTGAAAAAGAAAAAGGGAAGAAAACGGAAGTCCTAAAAGGAAGCAAGAAACATGCAACAAGAGAGGCCATCCCATATAGCCACATATATATTTGAGGATTTATAAGATAAAATGTGGTGGAGCCAGCAAATATTGCTACAGAATTGAGAAGTTACAGTACAGTCCCCATTTGTCAATCAAGCTCCTATGCTACACAAAACAAAATTCAATGCCTAGAACAGTAATTGCACTCACAAAATGCTCGCTCTGATTAATCAGTTTCAAATCATATATAAAGTAGATATGGAATTTATAAGGTTAGGAATCAGATCAAACATTTGTGGTGTATGTATAGTTGGAAATTGGAACCATGACATGAAAGAAAACAAACCCTCCCCCCTAAATATCTTCAGGGAAAAAATCTCCCTTTTTTCCTTGGTCTCAATAAATATGGGATGTACAATGGTCGGGACGAATTGGAATCGGCGAAGACATAAACCGATAAAATGTTCCCGACTCTTTCACAATCTTCATTTTTATTTTCGTTGTCAATCAAAACCTACGTCAATTTTGATCGACTTCAAAACCGAAACTAACCGAATTAAGCACATATGAAAAGGAGAAAAAGCTTTACCTTTAGCAGGGAGTGGATTAGGTGAGTTCGCAGCAGAGTTGGGATGAGGAGTAGAAGAAGAACCTTCCACAACGGCCACTCTGGACTTCTTTGACGACCGTCTTCCAGACCCACGACGAGGTTCTATTTTTTATATTTTAGCCACACAAAAACGAGAATTTAACACATTAGCCTCCCAAACAATTTTAAAGTTACAGAACGGTCCATTTTGAAGAACAGAATTTGTACCAGGCTGCTTCCAGATTGAGGCAAAGATTGGCCCCTGGACCCTAAACAAGTGGACTTGTTCGTAATGGTAAAGGGTCTCAAGGTAATTTTTCCTCAGCACGAAGGAGGCACTTGTGGTTGTGCGAGAGAATCGAAACACCGAGCCCACCTCCCTCCATTTCTTCTCCGCAACCACCTGGTCACGCCGATAATGTCAAATAATAAGAGCAATTCATTCGACCGGATGGAAAAATCTATCCGAATCTAGTTTTTTTTTTCCGAATAAAACCCATTGAATCGAAACATAATCGAATTAGATTTGGTCTAGGAGTACTCGAACCACATTTACATAAGATAGTACTATAAGATTTCAATTTCGTACCAAATATGTCACGAACCATATGGAACCACATTACCATAACCCAATTTTCCCTCGTCACTAATGTTACAACACATGCGTGACACATTTGATAAACTCCTAACAAAATAAGGGGAAAATCTCCAAGAGTATACATCGAATTGAAATTCTAATCCAACCACATTGCTTCCACATACAAATTTCCACATTCCAATCACATCGAAATTCGGAAAAAATATAAAAAATAATACGAGACATATTCGATTGATTGGAAGGAAATCGAGGGGTAAAAAAAAAAACTAAAAAGTCGTGTGAAATGTGAATACCACTATGATAATTTATCGAATTTTTTTTTATTTTTATAATGGTAGGGAAGAAAAAGGACCAAATTACCTTCTCAAAACCGCCTCTTTTCGTGGTCTCAACATAGAGGACATGCAAATCCAGGTCTCTCCCTCCAATCACAGGAATCCTGTTACGAACCCAAAAACAACAACGAAAGAAACAGACGCCATTAACAAGATCGAAACTTTATCGTGAAAAAACAGAGTGGGAAAAAAAAACAGGGTTTGAGATTTTACGAGAAAGTGGTTCCCATAATAGAATGGAAGCGATTGAGAGTGTCCCAGAAGGCGGCACCATCGTTCACCACAACCTCGTGTTCTGCCAACGGAGCAGGGTAGAACTTCCTCACCAGTTCTCCTTCTCCTTCCCCTGAATCTTCCCGCCGTTTACGCGCCGCCGGCGACATTTCTTCTCGCCGGAGTGAGATGGGACAGGTAGGAAAAGGACAAAAGGAGAGAGAGAGAGAGAGGGGTTTAGTGTTTAGAGAGAGATTGGGAGGGGGGGAATGGTATAGTGAGGAAGAGAAGAGGGTAATGATGGGAAAGTTAAATAGTAAAAAAAAAAAATGTGAGAAGGGTGATTTCCCGAGATAAGACTCGCAATTAAGAGAGATGATTTTTTTTCTTTTTCTCTTCCTTTTTGGGGTTTTTTTTTTGGGTCTGTGTATTTAGACTGGCTGCTGCAGCAGGCTGGCAGCTTCTCTGTGCGAGAGCAAAGTAGGAATCCCGCTAAGAGATGAAGAGAGGTGACGCGTGGGAAGCAGCGGTTACGCCAATTTGGATTTTTTTTGCACTACCCAAAAACCTTATGCTTTTTTGATTTTTCTTGAAGTGGCCGATTAACAAGCAACTAAGCAAGAGCCATTAACCCACGTACTTATATTAATCAATAATTAACTAATTAATTAATCTTTGGTATGTGTTGAGAATACCCTTTTTATATAGAATTTATGTATTTCAAATTCATATGGTGTCCGAATAGGAGTAATATTTGAAGTGTGACTTAGTTGCGAAGTAAGGATAGTTTTCAACGAACTTTCTTCGTTTTCTATGGATTTGGAAAAAAGCGTTAAGATAATTAATTTTTTACAGTTAATGAAACAACAGTAATTTCATAACCGTCTGTTAAAATGAGCAAGTATATAATAGAGCGGCCGTTAAAAATTGGTTTGACCAGGGTAGGTAGGAAGTTTTTTTTTGTTACGCTCGACACGTGTTTCATTTCTCATAGTTTTGTTCTGCGCAACTCATTTTATTAACGGTTTGGCCGTTTTCCTCACTGGAATGTAAAAAGGTACACATATATTTATTTTCTTACGATTTTTAGATAAGTTTGATAATTGCTTCAGTGAATGCTACAATATATAAATTTGAAAATCGATTAGTAGAATGTTGATTTAAAAGAAATTATTGAAACAAACTATCAATTTGTAAAGTGTGTAAATACAAGTGTAATAGTACATTTGAAGTATGACTCAGTTGCACGGTAATGAGATGGTCTTCAACGTACTTTCTTACTATTCTACGCATTTGGAAAAAGGGAGGTGACGCGTGGGAGGCAGCGGTTACGCCAATTTGGATTTTTTTTTTTTTGCACTACCCCAAAAACCTTATGCTTATGTGATTTTTCTTGAAATGGCCGATTAACAAGCAACTAAGCAAGAGCCATTAACCCACGTACTTATATTAATCAATGATTAACTAATTAATTAATCTTTGGTATGTGTAGAGATTACCCTTTTTTTTAGAATATATGTATTTCAAATTCAAATGGTGTCTGAATATGAGTAATATTTGAAGTGTGACTTAGTTGAGAAGTAATGGGATAGTTTTCAACGTACTTTCTTGGATTTGAAAAAAAAAAGAGTTAAGATAATTAATTTTTTACAGTTAATGAAACAACAGTATTTTCATAACCGTTTGTTAAAATGAGCAAGTATATAATAGAGCGGCCGTTAAAAATTGGTTTGACCAGGGTAGGTAGGAAGTTTTTTTTTGTTACGCTCGACACGTGTTTCATTTCTCATAGTTTTGTTTTGCACAGCTCATTTTATTAACGGTTTGGCCGTTTTCCTCACTGGAATGTAAAAAGGTACACATATATTTATTTTCTTACGATTTTTATATAAGTTTGATAATTGCTTCAATGAATGCTAGAAAATATAAATTTGAAAATCGGTTAGTAGAATGTTGATTTAAAAGAAATTATTGAAACAAGCTATCAATTTGTAAAGTGTGTAAATACAAGTGTAATAGTACATTTGAAGTATGACTCAGTTGCACGGTAATGAGATGGTTTTCGACGTACTTTCTTATTATTCTATGCATTTGGAAAAAGGAGTAGATATAATTAATTTTTACAGTTACGGTTAGTGAAACAACAGTAATTTAATAATTGTATGTTAAAATGAGTAAGTATATATTAGAGCAACCGTTATAATTTGGCTTGACCAGAGTAGGTAGAAAGTTTTGTACCCCCAGCACGTGTTTCATTTTTCACATTTGTTCTGTCAACTCAATTTATTCATGGTTTGACAGTTTCTCTCTCTGGAATGTAAAAGGTACAAAGAGATTTATTTTATTACGATATTTAGATACATTTGATAATTGCTTCAATGAATTCTACAACACCTGCATTTGGAAATAGGTTGGTGATTTTAAAAAATGTTGAAACAAACTGTCGATTTGTAAAGTGTGTAAATCAAGTTGATTTGATTGAGACAGAAAGCACCCCATGTTCGCCAAGTGTCATATGCTTTCGTATTTGATATGCGCAACTAATTTCTTTTATGATATTGCCAATAGCTTTTTTATACTAAATTCCAGGATTCATTACACCGGTGCAATTATTTCACATGATTGTGAAGTAAGACTTACCCGAGAATTAATTAGATGATGTCCAACAAACTTTTATTGCTCTTAGCACTAATGAAAATGAGTAATTATATAATAAACGAGCCAAAAATATTGGTTTAAAATTTAAATATGGTGGGAAGTGTTATAAGCTTGATACATGTTCTATTTTTCATATTTGTCTTTAACAACTAAATTTATCTATGATTTCACAATTGTGCTGGATATGGAGTATAAGGTGAAAAGAAATGGACAACTAATTTGTCCTTTAGTTGCATTACTAACCATCCTCAAAGAGCAAATAACTCACCAATTTATTTATCTCATTTTATCTAGTTATACTATACCGGCATCTATTTTAACCGTTCGATTTTAACTTTTCATGCTTTTTACCATTCAATTACCTGTTAAATGAGTGTAAAATATAACTACTCATTCAATTATTAACTTCATATTACGGTAAACTATTATTTTTTTACATTTTTTATTTAGATGATATGGGTTTTTTGCAATTTTTTTGTGTAATTGGACTATAAGGTCAATTGATTATACAACTTCAAACGAGCATGAATTCGATCAAAACCCAAAATATATGAACAATCTATATTAAATGAGTACAAAATTTTATCAAAACTCAAAATAAAAACCAACATAAGATATGAACCATTTTATAATCGAGATGCCAGCTCTATACAACAACAATTTTTTTCCCCGTGTCTATGTGAAGCTCATCTACATTTTTTTGGTTGAATCTCATCTACATTTCTGGAATGTAACAGTAGGGCATAAATTGAAGTGATTTCAGATAAACCTTTAATCTCTAATTTGCTATGTAATCTAACAAAGTCAGATACTAAATCCCCCAGCCATATATTCTCTAAATTAATCCTAAACAAACTTAATTACTTAATTCTCCCCTCGGCCCTCACCATGTGCAATTAAATAATTCTATATAAAATTATTAGATACTTAATTCTCCCCTCACCATAATTTCCTTTCACCAAATACAAGAATATTTATAAGGAAAAAATAACATTTCCCTAATTCCCTTTCAACTATCCTATTTTCCAAAAATTTCCTTAGTTTTTTCATATTTATCCTCCCAATTCCCCAAAAGAAATAGGATTAGTAGTAGGACATTTAATTTTACACATAGAAATAGACCAATCTCAATTATTACCCTAAAACCCTTTCGCTTTCTGTGTAGCTCCTGCTGCGGCCCTTCCCCAGCTTTGCTTTGCTTGCTTCCTACTGCAGTCCCTTTCTCTCGTCTATTGGAAGCCCTGACATAAATCAATCTGTACCTAGTGCCCTTTTATTTGATATTTTGATTGCGTCTACTTTATCTAATTTTCAATTTCAATGTACAAGTACAATGAGTAATTGACTAATTATTTTAGTATTTAACCTTTATCTACCATTAATCTGATGGACATACAGTTTATCCAGTGAAGTTATTTCAGGAACTACCTACTGCCTAAAGTATTTATCAATTATGTAACCCAAGTTGTTTCACTTCTTAATTGAACGATAACTTCTTAACTGAACGATAAATACCAAAGGGTAATATTTATCACAACATATGACATATCGCACTTAGTTTAACAATGCTTACTTGTATTTCATAATAGTAAAAACAAGGTTCAATTTGGTTATTACTTATTAATGAAACTTACTTTTTACTTGCCATTATGATCATTTAGAGGAAACTAGACCGCACAAATAGGGAGATGGATGCGATGACGGACCCATGAAATTTAAGGATTTTTTTAATTAAAATAATAACTAAACAATTTTAAATAAAAAAAGGATTCGACTATTACAAGTTACAATAAAATACCAAGATGTGGGTTTTCGCCTTTTTGGTCTTCGGATGGAGCTGGTGGCAGCTTGGAAGCTTGCGGTTTGTGGATGGAGTTGGGGCCTGCCTGGGAAGCTTTGCAGAGTTGTGGTTGCATTGGCGGAGGAGGGTCATGACTCGTCGGTTGAGCTCGCAACTCGCAAGTCGGTAGCACGACAATCAACAAATTCTATGATGGTGGAGGACTAGAGTTTGGACTTCGGAGAAGTAGAAGCCGACGATTAGAGGGCGGAGGCTGACCGCTGATGACTGGATTGGAGGGGTTTCACATGAAAGATTGAAGAAAATGAGTCATATCTCGATGCATTTTTTACTTTGATTCTCCAATATATGAAGGCTGGGGAATTTGGAATTTAACATTTGGGTTATCGATGAAAATTTTGTGGAAGTTGAGGTTTAATGGACTTTTGTTTTACTTATAATCAAATTTATGTATTAAATATATTAACAAATAATTTGTAGTGTAATGGAGAACATGTTTACCAATAACTGCGGTTTCATGTGTCTATAATTTTCCTAAAATTTAAAGATGTCCAGGGACACCCCTTAAAAGACAAGGCTCCACCCCCTGTATGGACTTTTACATCTTAATAGTGGAAGTTGAGATTATCTAAAACTTTTACTCTGTTAATACCCTTACCTAAGAGGTCGTTTGGATGGTGAATTAATGGAATTACTAGCTGTGAATGTGAATTTTATAAAACCCACCATCTTAATCATTTTACAATATTATTAGAATCTATTTCATATCCACGAAAACTATTAAAATAGAGAAAAAGGCTAACCAAGTTGAGATTTGGATCCAACCACATACAATTTTGATCGAATTTGACCCTCACCTTCATTTTTATATATTTTGGTATGATCCGTACTTGATTTTTGACGGTGTTGGATTGCATTCGGACACAATCTCGTCTATAACACATCATGTTTTACATTTTTTCCACCGATCATTCACCATGTTGTACATTGTCAAATACAACAATCTCTTTTTTTTCTTTCTTTCTTTTGCTTAACCATGTACTTACAAGTTACAACGACTCCCTGGATAAATCATGTGTACAAACTACCCTCTCAGACTCAAATCATCAATCCAATGTCCCAACTCCCAACCACCCCTCAATATAGATATAGGTCATTTGACACTTTCGTGTTTAATTTCTGGCTCATGCATGCTCTTTGTGTTTTCACTTTTCACTTTCATAGTTAAGAGAAGAAGGGTGACATGAACTTACCTCATTGGCTCTTTCCCCTTCTGAAAAGATTTAACCCCACAGATATCCTATTCTTCTGACCAAATCTCTTCACACTCTCTAGAGTCTAGCCTCTAGGTATACTATAGTCTATACTCCAATTCTCATCCAGTGCGCTCCGCCCCACGCTACACCCTCATATAGTGGGCTTGATAAGGCCCAATCTATTTGGAAGAGTGCAGGCCCAAGTTATTCATCACATCGCATGTCTTCTGTCAGGCCCATTATGGTGGTGGGAACTGGAAAGACAATCGCGCTGCTGCTGGCCTGGGTGACGGGAAATCTCAGGAAAAAGTAGGCGACGAACGAAAACCTAGAAAAAGCAAATGTGAAGTCGGAGACAATGTCGTCAGCGACGATCGAGAACCGAAGAGAGGAAAATGGACGGAGAGATCGTTTGATGGGCGCTAGAGATCGTCATCCGGAAAAGCACAGATAGCAGTCTAGTGAAAAACCTTTTTCGCAAACGTCGGTCTCCCCTTCCCCGCCGACGATTCGCGCTCGTAGAAGACGGTGACGCTTCGCTTGTTCCAAGATGCGATAGGCAAGGGATTAGTCTCCGAAGACATGCTTGAATGGTTTGGGATTATAGAGGATTTGGATAGGAGAGATGGAATTTCCGTTTCGGAATCGTTGAAACTTGCTTATTGTGGTGTCGCGGTGGATTTTACTGTTAAGCAGAAGTTCCTCGAAGCGGTGGATAGGATTTGGAGTTAGGTTTGGGGGATTGGAACTGGAAGGGAAGAGTGAGCTGGTTACGGGGGAGTTACTGAAGATTCGCGGTTATTTGGAGCAGGAGCTTCTTGGTCAGGGTTCTTCTTTGGCTGTAATGGAGTGGAGGGACACGCATGAGGCTTTGAGATTGGTTGACGACTATTTGAAGGAGACCATGACAGTTATGGGGCCTTCGTTTCTCGAACTTGTGGCAATGAAGCAGTTGGGGATTGGGTGCGGGGAGAATTCTCATAAGGTGGGCGAGGTTCTAATGGAGAAGAGCATCTTTGTGAAGATGGTGGAGGTGGGTTTGATAGATTTCACGATGAAGATGGTGGCAGGCTAGAGAGTGAAGAGGTTCCGAAGATGAAGGATGGGGGTTATGGTGAGTCAGGTGAGGGTTCTAAGGGTGGGGTTGATGGTACAGGGAATGAAGAACAAAAGCATCTTTGTGAGAATGTTGGAGATGGGGCTAAAGGGTCTCATGATGAAGATATTCCGAAGTGGAGGGTTGGGGATTCCGGTAAGACAGGAGATGTTTCTAATGTTGGGGTTAATGGTTAAGGTAATGAAGAAGAAGATATATTTCTGAGAATGTTGGAGATGGGGATAAGAGAGAGGGTGACCATATGTCGAAGAGGAAGGATGAGGGGTTCTGATAAGGTAGGAGAGGGTTCTAATGACGGAGTTGATGGCGAAGGGAATAGAGAAGAGCAAGAGGGTGAAGATATCCTGAAGATGAAGAAGAGGAAGGACAGAGATTCTGAGAAGATAGGAGAAGATGTTGCGAAGAGCAAGAAGAGGAAGGGTGCAGCTGTTAAACCAATGCACCTCTCCATCGCCGCAGTGCACCTGCAAAGATTGCTGATGTGGGCGAAACTGCAAGTTACCAGTCTGTTCCAGGCAAGCAGTTAGCAAAAGAGGTTGATGCACAACCGAATCAGCCGGAAGCTTTTTTGGAAACTGGCTTGGGAAATCAAGAGCCTGCTGAGGTGGAAACCCAAACTGAGAAACAGAATATGAATCCAGAACCAGGAACCAGTGCCACAAATGATGCTGCTGATATGCAATGACCTACAACCCCTCCAGAGGATAGACCATCACTGAGGAAACTGCCACCTAGCTCTCCACCAAAGTTGCTTATTGACCCCAGCTTGCTTCAGAGGAGGCAGAACAGGAAGTGGTCAGTGGAGGAGCTCTGTACAATGGAGTGCAGCAGTTAGGTGTCGGGTCTTGGAAGGAAATCCTCAGATCCCGGGGCCAGAGCTTCAACAATAGGACCGAGGTTGATTTCAGAGACAAGTGGAGGAACATGAATAGATGGAAGCGTGAGCATTGACCCTGGTAACGATTTTGCACATGGAAAAGGGAATGATCCCTCTTTTGTGTCTCTTGTCCCGTTGATAACTCTCAACTCGTTCTGTGGTACATTTTTGTGTAGATAGAAAGTATGTAACTACATCTGACTCTTAACTGTATAGTCTTATGAGTTCCCACTTGCATCTGTTATTTATTTCTACTAATGAGTGATAAGCAGTAAGAATGTTGCTTCGTTTGGTAGCAATGGCTCACAGTTGCAATGTAAATGATGCTGGAAGATTGGCTTCTTGCCTAATTCTAATTGAAATATATATCTCCTTAAAGTGGTCTTAACTTCTGATTATGTCTCGTTTGTTCTCAATCTGTTTGTATTCGTGGTTCACCTTTTTATCTATTTTATTGAGACTTTCCCGGTTTCCTTTTGTTCAATTCAGCAATGGCGGCTTCTATCTTCAGAAATGCTGAACCGATTCTCCTCCCTGTGAAATTTGCCATTTCAAGAAGGTTCTGTCTTGCTTCTCGCCTTTCTCTAGAGCTCCATGGATTATTCAGCTTGGACTCAGCTCGTTTCAGCTGTAACCATGGCGGTAACCTCCTGTGCATCTATCCCCAGCTGCCGTTCGATTCATTACAAGGTGATGGGTTCATCAGTCATCAGTTGGTCTCCGCTTAAGGTTGGGTTTCACAAAAGATGCATGCGACTGGTTCGATGAATTGCCTGACACAGATTTGGTCTCATGGAATTCCTTCATATTCGGGTTTTCACTCGGAGGGGACCTTTGTAACTGCTTGAAGACCTTCTCTCCCATGAAGCTTGAAAGAGGAGTCGAACCCAGTGAAGGTACGATCATTCCATTAATTTCAGCATGCGCTGAGAGTGAGACTAGAGCTCTGGATATTGATACATATATTCATGGATTTGCCCTGAAGTTTGGAATGCTTCTCGAGCTGAGAATTGCTACGTTTTGATTAACTTGTATGGAAAGTCTGGCTACTTAGATGGTGCAAGTGGATTGCCTTCCGAATTTGCTAACCTGGAAGCTATGGAGTTCATGGGAAAGGCAAGGAAGCCGTGGAAACTTTCCAGCTGATGCTAACAGGTGATGTATCTCTTGATCATGCCATTTTCACCCACTTGTTGAAAGCTTGCAGCCATACAGGGCCTCTGACAGAAGATGTAGGGCTACTTGGAGGTTATGGCATTGATCTATGGTGAGTGCCAATCAAAGAATGCCTCTGGTTATCACCAAGAACCTCAGGGTATGTGGTGATTGTCACGAATTCACTAAGCTTGTGTCGATGCTCTCGAACGCGAGATCATCATTCGAGACACAAAGCGGTTTCATAATTTCTCCTGTAAGATCGTATTCTTGCAGAGAGTACAAACTCTCTGCTTCCTGTATTTTAGGATATTTTTACCAACTTGAAGAAATTAGGAACTGCTTGAACCCAGAACATGAAACGCAAGAATACGATTTTGGTTCGGATGTCGGATCTGTTATCCTTACGGTTGGGCTTTTTTGGTTCCAAGCCAGGAGGGTCAACTTCTCTGTTATTAGCCAGCAACCAACCAAAACCAAGCCAAGGCCCAAGATTCCATCGTTGTCAAAGAGACGACGAGAAAGACAAAAGGCACTATAACAATGACACTCTTCTCATCAATTTGAGGAGTGACTTGGTGGCATGGTTAGTAAAATACAGTACGGGAAAGTTACGTATAAAATAAGTATAGGTAATTTACTTTTTCTTTAAGCTAATATTGTGTTTAATAGTATGTTAATAGTCATAAAAATATAAAAATAATTATTTTTAAAAATAAATAAATATATAAAAAATAGTAAAGTTAATAATTTAATTGATTAAATACGGGTATTAAACGTGCTATACGGGTTTTAAATACTAACTATGCTTGGTGGTAGGGGTGGGCAAACGGTTCGGTAAACCCCAACCGAAATCGAATTAAACCGAACCAAAATAATGCTATTCGGTTCGGAATTCGGAACGAAAATATGAATATTTCGGAAACCAGGGTTCTTTCAACCTAACCGAAATTCTGAATTTCCGACCGAAAAACCGAAATACTACAATTGCAACCTCCAAATGGTGGATTTTTATGTCTGTAGTTGTTTTTATACTTAAATATTTGAAATGTTTTATGACTTATGTGTTGAAAAGTTTGATTTTATCATTGATTATGCATATATTGCATATTTATTATTTATATTAGGGGTGAAAAATAATTTAAAAGTGAGAAGATACAAGTAGCCTCACAAATTTGGTTTTGTGTTAAAAATCAAACATAATTATAATTCGGTTTAAACCGACCGAACCGAATTATAATTCGGTTTGAGATTTGAAAGAATTCAGGAATCCGATATTCATAATTTTGGTTCGGTCGAAACCGAACCACCAAATCTCAACCCCTACTTGGTGGAAGGAAATGGGACTGTGGGAGAGGAAGAAGGCAAATTGTGGAAAATGATGGGCACAAGGAAAGAAAGGAGCCTTTGCTTTCACCTCATATAAATGTAATCAAAGATGGGACGACATGTGAAAACTAACAAACCCTACTCATGGGACGACGTCGCCTTGTCCCTCTCCTAAGAGTAGGACCTTGTCCCCTTTAGATACCCACACCATATGATAATAGATAATGCAAATCGAAAAATCCATCCCAATCCATAACACATTTGGAATCTCCTTCAAAGGAATAATAATAATTATAATATCTCTTTAGGATCATTCACACTCCAGTTGAAGCAATTATTGAATACTCCTATGGCTCGCTCAGTTAACGGAAGAAGGGGGAAATTGGGGAGGGAAAGGAAAATTTAGAGAGTGAAAACTTGATGATAGTTAAATAATGAAGGGAAAGTGGTGGTCAATTTGAAGAAAAAGAGGAGAAAAGATACCCAATAAAAGTCAATAGTTGTTTCCACTCCGAATTAGGGGGTAACGGCTATAATGAATCCCTCAATAACCACTCTCATGTATTGTACCAAAACTTATGAACAAGAGAATCATTCTGATTCCCACCAGTTCCCCCGATTTTGCCCCACTCTCTATTTAAACACCCCCGATGAACATAGAAGTAGTATAGAACTATAGATGTAGTTTGAACTCTAAACAAGAATGTACCCTTTTGTTGTTATAGTGAAATTCGTCTTCAAAACTACTTTCTTGAATCGCAACTCCCTTACCAGTTAAAACAATGTAAGATACTCGTCAATTCAGTTAATCAACTGAAACGACCATTCCTTCCATATCTCAAATAGACATTAACATCTTTACGAAGTGAGAAGAAAACAGAAAATAATTGATGAAAGTTATGCAAAGTGGGGCATGTGAGCCATTCCTATACCAATCAAGGTAATAAATGCTTTGATTTGAACATTAAAATCTGTCGACATAGTTTCTTCATAATTGAGAAGACATTGTCCATGTGGCTGCCTGCCGTATGCAAGCAGTTGATTTGGGCGGGACCAACCTCTAGCTGCTTCTGCAGGTAACTTGTTTGGCTTTCTTACCTCATTGGTTAACTGTTACAGAGTATACGTTTGTTAAAGGTTTCTCGAAGAAATAATATATGTTTGGTTTAAGTCGATACAAATAAAGTGCATTAGCCTTTGCCATTGTTAATTTTTTTATCCTAATCTTTTCATTGATTGTTTATCATTATCATTATCTATAAAGATCTCAATCTCACATTCTCATTTGATGTTGATGGTAAGAAAGGACTTGGTAGTGGACCATAAAAGTACACATAATCATGGAGGATAAAATGGTTTCTACATGTATATCCCACTATCTAAGATATGAATTTGATGAATGCAATGATGAACGATGAACTTTATAGGAGTTTCTTATCTGGTTTATGATTAGGATGCTATTGGTTTCTTGGCGAAATAGTATAAATGATCACCACTTGTGTATATTATAACGATTGTTGTTGTTTTCTTATTGGATTTGAAAATGAGGATTTTTAGTTAAAAAATTTAGGATTTATGATGAATTTGGTGTACTACGGATTTGGAAGAATCAATTGCGTGAGTAGCTGCTTTTTTATCAAGGATTTTTAACTTTTTTGCACCATGAATCCCACATATGTCTTCCCTCAACCAAATCCCAAATGAAAGGTGAGATCTACAAATTCCCGGAGACCACAATTTTGGATCTAAAAATTGTCAAAATCTGTGGGCCCATGGATTTGATTTCTAATTCTTTAATGCAACAAACAAAGAAATTGGTTAAATCTATCATACTTTGGATTTTGATGGCAAATCCATCACCCAAATCCAACAAAGATGTCAGGGGCAGAGCTACATTGTAGCTAGGGTGGGCCCCGACACCCCCGGGATTGGTCCCGGCCCCTAGATCTCTAAGGATATTTAGTACAAGTTTTATAAGTAGAACTTGTTCTGTAAATTTTATCATGTAATAGTTATGTGGTCTAATGGTAGCCAATGTTAATTTATATCTTAAAGCACATGACTTCATTCCACATTGGTTACATAATTTTTTTTAATTATTTTCGACCTTCCCGGTCTCGAAATCCTGACTCCGCCCCTGAAAGATGTCATGCTGGATAAGTGTAGATTTTTCTAATGCTCAACCTAATAGGTGTGAACTCAAAAGTTTAATGTAGATTTCAAATAAACCTAACACATCAATATTTTAATATTGCGAATTACGTATGAACTCGCAACTACATAAAATCTCATTGTCATTTAATGAATTAAGTAGATTAGTAGGTACTAATTTGTCTTTATCTTCTTCTTCCGGATTAGACCCCCCTCAATTCTAACAATCTAACTCAGCAGGCAGCGGCTCTTGTCTTGTGTATACACACATAGACATAGGTATGTTTATGGACAACGACAGAGCTTGTCTGTTGCCCTCCAAACAATGAATACTCCAAAGACCAAAACGTCCGGGAATCAAGTTGCTTCTTGAAATATATTACTAGAAATTAAGAATTTAGAAGGTTAATCAATCGACTAAATCCCCAAAATTGAAGTCTTGTAACCTAATCCACTCCACGTATTCATTACTCGTGTCCTTCCTCACATCAACAAAGTGTTTCGAGTATTCTCCATTTCCACTTAAGCTCAAGCTTGGAACTTCTTGACTCTTGTTATGTTACAAATTTCTCACTAGTTATACATCAGAGCAACGAAGATGCATGATTGTCTCGAATCAATGTAGTGGAGGTATTTTGATCAACTGGTTATTGACATCGTATTAGAGCTTTTAATTGAGCATACTAGAATTCTCATTATTTGTTCACTCATTGCAATGATATGTTGGACCTCATCAAAGAATAAGTCTACGGATTACGTTTCATTTGAAGGGGTGTGTATGGAAACATTATTATAAATTTCATATATTTGATTCTTGTTGAAGTTTGATTCCCCTTCCTCATTGACCCTAGGCTTTCGTAGTCATATGCATACTTCTTTCGTAGTCACAAACATGGGGTTGCTGAGACCTATTAGACCTTCGACACGATCAAGTTTGAAGTGGTTTTTAGAAGGCAAAATACATTTTCATAGCCATAACTTTTCGCGTTGTGACAAATATAGCCAAATTCTGAAAAATACACTTGTATAGCCACTTTTTCAAACTTGCTTGACAACTTTAGCCATTTCCGTTACAAACTTTAACGCCATCACAAACGTCGTTAATAACCTCTGTGTGTCGCTGAGGTGGATGCCACCTGGATGACACATCATCACCAACTGGACATCTTCATGCCACCTCATATTAAAAGTAATTAAAAAATAATTTTAGTAAAATAAAATAATTAGAAAGGAAAAAATCATTTCTCTCTCTCTCTCTCTATTCCTTCATCCCTGCCCCAAATCGCTTTCCCACTGCTTGTCTTTCCCAGTCGCTTGCCTTTCCAAATTCCCCTCCACCAGATCCAAATTCATGACCCCTTCCTCCTCCCTTCAAAGCCCCCCTCTCTTTCCCGAGCAGCATCCCCACGGGACCGTCCCGTTCTCGTTCCACCCCCACACCAACGCCATTTGCCCGTACACCAATCCGACGAACTCCCTGCGAAGGTCGTCGACCGACGAATCGGGACCAGGAAGAAGAGAGCAGCAGCTACAACAGCCATGGGTGATGACTTTCTTGTTTTCGCCGTCTTTTTTCTCGGTGTGTGTTGTGGGAGATGGGATAATGCAGTGAGAGGGATCGATTTGGAGAGATTTGTTTCAATTGATTCTAAGAGAACAATTCCTTTGAGAAATTAGGGATTTTTTAGGGGATGAGCGGAGGAAGCTTGTGACACCGGTGGGAGGAGGAGTTGATTCATTGATTTTGCTGGGGGATAAGAAATGAGTCCGATTGGAGAATCGGGGGTCATCGGCAGCGGCGTTTGCCGGCCGTACCGGGAGTGGGATGATTGTTGTTGGCCTTGCGTCGGAGGGAAATTGACGGAAGGAAGTTAAGGGTGATATGGAGTGTATGAACGGGTTGATCGATGGAGGGGATGGTGGTGTTTTGAGCTCGTTGTGTTCGTCGATCTACCAGGGTGTATGAAGAAGAAGAAGAGGAATGGAAGGTCGGGGAATATGTAGAGGAAGGGTTTTTAATTCATCTTTCTTTTTTATTTTAATTTTCTTTTATTTTTAATTCATCTTTCTTTAAACTCTTTCCACCTGTACTGCCACATAGATTACCTAGGCCACGTTGCAAACATCCGTTAGTCTAGTCAGCAGTTGTGAGATTTCCGTTAAAGTTTTGGACGGAATGGCTATACGAGTGTATTTTTCAAAATTCGGCTATATTTGTCACAACACGAAAAGTTATGGCTATGAAAGTGTATTTTGCCTTTTTAGAAAGGTAAAAGGTATAGAGAATTAGACTGTATATGATTGTGGCTACCTTTTCTGTTATTTATAGTCGAGGGCATCCTCACTTTGTTTCCTCCTTTTGAGCCGATCTCCGACAAACCATGTACTGCTGCATACTAGAGCAGACGAACGATGTATGGTCGTTGCTAGGCGTCGTATTGTTATCTTTTCCTTCCTTTGAAGATATCCGTCTTTATGTAGATAGCCCATGACCCATTATAGCTTTATGGGGCTAAATGACACGAATCCAACTCAAAATGCGTCCAACAAATATTTTTAATAACTTAAATTATCGAAATCAACTGCATTTTAATTTGCATACCGGTTAAAGTAAGAATCGTTAAATCTCAAAAGTCAAAACTCTTTATATTTTCCTCATTATAGCTTTATGAGGATAAATGACACGAATCCAACTTAAAATGCGTCCAACAAATATTTTTATTAGCTCAAATTACTGAAATCAACCGCATTTTAATTCGCATACCAAACTATGAAGTAAGAACTGTTAAATCTCAAAACTCTTTTATATTTTCCCCAAAAGGCAAACCTACTTTCAAAAACTACCTTTTTCATATTGCAACCGTTACGGGGAAGGGAAACAACACACCGGACACGTTTCAGGTTTGGTCTAGGAGTAAGAAGGAAGTAAGCTCTACTGCTCTAGTAGTAAACCAAAAGAGCACAGAAACTGCTACTGCGGCGAGCGGCCAGCGGTTCGGCCCAATCCAAACAAACCGAAGATTCCCCTGAATATTCTCTCTTTCCCACCTCCCTCCTCTTTTCTTTCCAGATATGTCTGCCCTTTAAATTTGCAAACCCGTCCCTCAACTTTCTAAAAATTCCGCAGCACCCCCTCTCACAACCCCAAATTCACCAAAAACACCCCCTTCCCCCAATATAAATCTCCCCTTCGCATTAAAGTTTCAAGATATAACTTAAAAGAAAAAAGAACTTCCCACTTCTACTACTGTTAAAACAGAGTCCAGCAATGGCTGCCTCTTTATCCCTCTCTTTCCCCGACCAAATAAGCCTCCTCGACAAGCTCCAGCTCTTCAGAGTTCAAGGCCGCGACAAGCGCGGCAACAAAGTGCTCCGCGTCATCGGGAAATACTTACCCGGTAAAGTTAATTCCGGTTTTGGTAACCAAATTCTTACTCTGTTTTTTCAGTTCACTGACCTTAAGCTTTTTTGCTCTGTCCTTCATTTTTTTTTTTTTTGGGTATGTGGCGAATTCAGCTCGGATGGTGAGCTGTGAAGCGGTGAAGAAGCATTTGGAGGACTCTGTTTTCCCCAAGCTAGGCGAGAAGCCGTTCTCCGTAGTGTATTTCCACGCCGGAGTTCAGCGGGGCGAGAATTTCCCCGGAATCTCTGCCCTCCGGTCGTTCTACGACGCCGTGCCGGACCCACTGAAGGAGAATCTGCAGGCGGTGTACTTCGTGCATCCGGGGCTCCAAGCCAGGATCTTCCTCGGCACCTTCGGCCGCTTCATTTTCACCGGCGGGTAAATATGTTATCCGTTTAATTTTTTTAACCGGTCGGGTAGAACAAGAAACAGAGCATGGTAAATTTGTAAATTGGCAATTGGGTAATCACTCTGTTTTTTTTTTTGCCCCCTTTCTCTTTGTTGTTGTCGGCGAGCAGATTGTACGGGAAGGTGAAGTACGTGAGCAGGCTGGAGTTCATGTGGGAGTATGTGAGGAAAGGGGAGATGGAGGTGCCGGAGTTCGTCAAGGATCACGAAGAAGAATTGGAGTATCGGCCGCTGACGACGCTGGATTACGGCATGGAGAGCGATTTCCCCAGGCCGTACTGCGCCGGAGCGAACATGGACAACCCCATGGCTTTGTATTCCATGCGCTGCATTTCCTAGTGTTCATGTACGAAGGTCTAGAACGGCCATTGTGTACATATAAAAAAAAAAAGTTTGGGTGTCAGGCAAAGAGGTTTGCTTGTAAGAAAAGTGTCGAGGCTTTTTCTGTAACTTAGAACACAAACAAACACAGCCCTGGCTAAAGCTCCCGAAAGAAGAGCAAAAATTGACGAAACGCAGCAGTCGAAGTGATGCTCTAAAGTCTAAACCCGTCATGCTTCATCAAGATCCGTCCAAGCATTATCATTAACATAATCTCACAGGATTAACTCGAGAAACAAACTGAAAGCTTTCTATAAAGCACTGATCCGTTAGAAGGGCTCAAGATAGGGTGCATAACCATGGGTTATGCATCCATCAATAACCAAATTTGGACCCTTCATTTAGAAAATTCAGATCTAAGGATGGAGAATTAAAGACTATTTTTATTTTCACTAGCTTTCTTAATTGACTCATATCTTTTTCGTTTTAACTCGGATTTTAATTTTTTTTCTACAGATGGAACGAGTTCACCGTGCTCTACAAAATGAGATCAATTTTCAATATTTTTTTAGGAAAAAAAAATTCCGGCCTCTCGGTACCAACTACATACCATATGGTATCTTCTTCGTTTTTAATTCGTTTTTGAAAACGTTTGCACAGCAGGGATGAGTTCATCATGATCTATTGGATCTACAAATTTCTGGGTGAACAAATTACAGGACCAAAAAATACCACACAATACCATACAATACCACCCTGGTACGGGGTGGTATTGTATAGTATTTTCTTCGTTTTTAATTCGTTTTTTGAAAACGTTTGCACAGAAGGGACGAGTTCATCATGATCTATTGGATCTACAAATTTCTAGGTGAACAAATTACAGGACCAAAAAATACCACACAATACCATACAATACCACCCTGGTACAGGGTGGTATTGTGTGGTATACAATGTTAAAAGTCATAAATTACAATTAATATACTTCTACTATCATGTATTCAACCATCCTACAGTATTGGTTTGTTCATACCACCACGATACGTTTTTCAAAACATAGGTATGCTTTTATTTCAATACCAGTCAATACCATATGGTATAGGCTGGTAAAAAATGGCTCAATTTTTTTTGTTCGAAAAATATATTAAAGTGGATATCATTTTGAAGAGCACAATTAATCTGATCTAACTGTGCAAAAAAAATTAAATTTCGACTTAAAATGAGCGGGAAATCGTCCGTCAAAGATTAAAAAGGGAAAAATTAAAGGCTTTCCATGAGAGAGAGGATGCTGATGTCATGCTGATGTGGACGGGTTACTCATGGTTACTCACCATAAGGTTACTGACCTGATCCATTCCCCGTTAGAAGACATGGAAAAAGAAAACATTGCTATATCATCCGTTAGAAAGAAGAAAGTTGTTGGAAGACATAACCTAGCGATTAAATTGGTTAGTGTTGTGCGTGTTAATATGAATGATTCAATTATTTTTTTATTAATATTTTTAATGACGTGTCAAATGGGCTAAAGTAACGGAGTTTTGGATGAAAGTAGACGGATTGACCTCTTTGTTATTCGCTCAAACTTATATTACCGAAACGTGCAAAATCAAAGAATTGTGACCAAATATGGACTGTTTCAATAATTTGAGTGACCAAAATTAATATTGATTATTTCAGTAACTAAACATGACATATTTTAATAAACACCATCACCAAACTTCACATTTACCCTTATTTGTTGGAATAGAATTCCCATATTCTGCCTTCTATCTGTAGTGTTGAAATGTACTAATGTAGTTGGGGTAGGTTGTGGGCTTGTGGCTTCCATATCTTTGTATCATGATCTATCTGTAAATGAAATGCAAAACCCATCTAGTATATTATTGATCTTGAGTATATATACAGCAGGAGATTATAACGTTCTGCCTATTTCTAAGGAAGTGAGAGTAACTAAGTAGCTAAAACTAAGGAACAGAATACATAATGGGTAGACTAAGTCAATGCACTCTATCACGCCCCCGCAAGTGAAATCTCGGAGAGGTGAAACTTGGAACAGAATTGGTGAAAGAGGAGTCGAGCCAATGAATTGGTGAGGACGTCTGCAAGTTGTTCCAGTGCCGGTAGGTAATGAACTCGAAATTGCTTCTTGGCGATCCCTGGTCACTTGGTCACTGGATGAGTCTGGAGGCGGGATTCTGAATGTGCAGAACACGTGGATGCACTTTGCTGGATGCAATTGCGTATGAACACTGTAATATATCTGTCAATGCCGGGCCAAAGGACTTGGTATGGCAAAAGCCCTTTATATGGTTAGGGAGATATTGTTTTATATGGTGGTGATAAGGAAATAGAATGGAAGGGAAACCGTAGCAGTAGAAAGAGAAGATTATGAGGAAGAATGGAGTGGGAAATGTTGGATCTTAAAGAAGGGGATGCAAGAGGGGTTTAGAAAGCAAAGAAGGGCAAGAACAGATTGTGGCAGGAGAGGTTTGGGGAAGAAGAAGAGAGAAGAGGTAGAGAGAGATGGATGATAGGCACAAGCCTCCAAATCAATTATATGAATCTATAGCAGGAGCTGTCTTGCAGCGAGAGAAATGAAAAGTTTAACTCAAGTGGAGGAGAGAGAGAGAGAGGGGAAGTCAGAGAAGGGGAGAAAGAAGATAATAGGAAAGGTGTTTATGGGGGTTCTCTTGGGTGGAGTAATTGACGAAGAAGAAGAAAAGAGGGAAGACGCCAGAGGGAAGAAGTAGAAGAAGCAAGCCGCCATCAGACTGGCTGCAACATATGAGATAAGTGCATTTTCTGATGATATCAACAATAGTGATACGATCCTAGAAGAAGAGAGAGTAAGGGGAAGGGGAATAGCTCTACGTTTGGAACAATGAAAGGTGAGGAAGAACAGGAAGGGGGGAAAAATGGAAGATAGGATCTTAAGCTGCCGTGAGGCTTTGGGGCTCTGATACCATGTAAATGAAATGCAAAACCCATCTAGTATATTATTGATCTTGAGTATATATACAGCAGGAGATTATAACGTTCTGCCTATTTCTAAGGAAGTGAGAGTAACTAAGTAGCTAAAACTAAGGAACAGAATACATAATGGGTAGACTAAGTCAATACACTCTATCACTATCAACTCTGCCACTCTTGCCTTTACCCCGAGTGCGAAACAGTTGTACTGACTATTCTGCATCAAGAATCCAACTATCTCCCCATATTTTCTGTCAAAATCGGGCTGCTCAATTAGTACAATATTGTCCGCTTTGGGCCAAACCCGCACGGTTTTACTCTTGGGTGTCCTCCCCAAAAGGCCTCGTACTATTTTGGTTAGATGGACTCTAATATACAAGGGTCTCTTCCCTTGTATTACCGATGTGGTACTTGGATTGTCCCATAACAATCCTCCCCTCAAGACAAGGACCACGAACACCGTGTTCTCACCTCAGCGATTATCTTGACCCGCCAGACACCTTGTATCGATGGGCTTCTCGGTACAAGAATTTTCCCGGACGCAGAACTCTCTTTGATCTGCTTCCCAAACGTGGAACTCTCTTTGATCCGCTAAGCCCAAACGTGGATCTCTCCTGGATCCACCAAACTAACGCGAATCATCTTTGACCCACCAGACAAACGCAGATCTCAAATCCAGAGGTCAACGAATGAGGGTCCACCAAACTGACGTCCACCGCCCCGGATCCGAACCAGCTCTGATACCACTTGTCAAAATCGGGCTGCTAAATTAGTACAATATTGTCCGCTTTGGGCCAAACCCGCACGGTTTTACTCTTGGGTGTCCTCCCCAAAAGGCCTCGTACTATTTTGGTTAGATGGACTCTAATATACAAGGGTCTCTTCCCTTGTATTACCGATGTGGTACTTGGATTGTCCCATAACATTTCCAAATTAAAACCATTCGTTATTAAGTTTTTATCCAAGAGTTTCTTCTCTGACCAACTCCTGTAGACTCCTCCAGTCATAACTTAGGTTGTTTTAATTCTAGCATGGAGGATTATTGACACAAATATTGATTTTTTTTAAATTACCACTAATATTGCGGATTAAATAGTATTGACAAAAATATTGTGTTTTTAACAGAGTTTTAGGTGCTGGCGCCTTAGACTAAGGCGCCCCCACCCCACACCCCCACAACCTTATCTTATCTTTTCTTTCCTTCCTCCTCCTCCACACAACCCCTCCTTCCTTCCTCTCCCGACCAGCCTCCTCCTCCCCTCCCACCCACACAGCCCTTCCTCTCCCGACCAGCCTCCTCTTCTCTCCGCCGTCGCTGCTACTCCCACCAGGAGCGAGCCCGCCCCAGTGCCAGGCGCCGCCGCCGCTCTAGCAGGTCCCGCCGCCGCTGAACAAAGCGAGAGGGCCCCAGTGCTAGGCCCCGCCGCCGCTCTGCCAGGTCCCGCCGCCGCTGTGTCTGTCGCCGCCGCCCCAGAGTACGTCGCCGCCGCAGCCAGCAGCAGCGCCGCCGCCTGGAGATGTCCTCCGATGAAGAAGAAGTCGCCGCCGGCAGAGGCAGGGGGAGAGGCCGGCGAGGTCGTGGAGGCCGTTTGTGCGGTGAGACTCTCGTCGGCGGCTTGAATATTTTTTTTAATGGTTTGTGTTTTTTTTAATGGTTTGTTGCTTTGTTTTTGCAGTTCCTAGGCTTATGGATCCTTATTCGATGAGATTACCGCCGGCGACAATTGATACAGGTCCGGTCGATGCGACACTTCTTTGGGGACATGGCCAACATCGTATCGACTCTGTTTGGACAAACGAGGTAAGTATTTGATAATTATTCATGTAAAGTTAATTAGCTAATTAGATTATTTTAGTTGGTGAACTGAACTGTACTGTTAGAGAATAGGATTACGTATTAGATTTTTTGAAATTAGTATAATTTGATATTAGATTAGATAGATTAGAATTAATTAGGTGAAATTAGAATTATTACGAACGAAGATGAATTAATATAAGTTTTGTGCACTATAGGCTGGTGATCGATCTTACCATGTTCGAGGTACGACCATTTTAGTACCTTACCGTGAGCTTTATCGGCCATATCTCGAAGCGGCAGGCTTGTTAAGTGTCGTGCCCCTAGTCCCTATGAACCCCGATGCGAGTTTGATTACTGCGCTCGTAGAGCGGT